GGCTTCCTAACCAAGACCTATCAAGATGGGTGCGACTGCTTCCCAATTCTAGTCCCTCACTTACTCTGTCACTCCTAAAAGGGTTTGAAGAACAGATGTCACCACTTATCACCACATCAATCAGACCAGGCCCCCTACTTCCACATCAGTGGACTGAGAACAACTCCATGGTCCTCACCACCTATGGTGATGCTAGGGAGACTAATCTGAGCCTCAGAGAACTGCCTGACCATGCAGCAAAGGGAATAGATTTGGATGAAAAACCAAACTACCTGTGATAACAATAACAAACCTTCAAGTTTAAAACACATATCCACACATAAGTTAAACTGACCACTCTCAAGCCTAGTACCTGATTGGGGCTTCAAATCTCAGCCAGTCTAGCGCTGAGAGTCACTTTGGAAAGCTCCATTCAGTAGCATATATTAGAAAAGCTCCCTCCTTCCATTTCAACAGGAGATCATACCTCTTTCCTGCAGATCTTGCTCCAGTAACTGAAGCCAAAGATCACTTCTTCTGGAGGGCCAGTCCTGCTGTTCTGGATCATGCAGGACTCTCCTGCACGTATGTAGGACACCTATTCTAAACATCAGGATTCTGATTCTGACGTAGCATACATCCTCAACAAACAGGTTTGCCATTCTTGTCAAGTGCTATTACCAATGCTGAGTACACACACAGTCAAATCTTCCCAGGCCTTGCTCTTAAGCACTCACAGTCCTTCAGAACCAGTGTGCTCACTATGATATGAGATAGAAGGAAGCTAGGACCATGAGAAAGAGGCACAGAAAAGCAAAGGATGTGATCGTGAAAGGCTTCCTGAAGGCAGCATTCTCAGAACACTGATGTTCTAAGGGAAGATGGCAAACTGCAGTCCATAGGAAGGCAAGTCCAGCTCATCACCTGCTTTCCTGTGGCACATGAGATAAGAATGGATTTCATATACCTTTAATGGCTACATTTTAAGTGGTTATATAAGCACTTACACAATGTTTTCAATTTTGTCTCTTAGCCAATAAAGCATAAAATATTTATGATCTGATCCTTTTAAAAAGGTTGCCAATCCCTGTTCTAAAGCACAAAAAATACCAAGACAGCCAACAAAATCAGCTAATGTTTGGTGAGAGCTCTCTGTGTGCTGTGTGCACTACAGTTGGTAGACATCAGCTTCACAGATGCCTCAAAAGGGAGTATTATCTCTACTTTACAAAGGAGAAAATTAAGTCACGGCAAAGTTAGTATTTTGTCTAGTCTCACAGCCAGCGAGTGTAGAACCTGATCTCAAAGTTGTTCTCTTATTTACCAGCTCAGGTACTGGCCAAGTCCCTAGAGAAAATATATGAGCAAAAGCTTAAAGCAAAAGACCAGTGAGAAATATGCTTCCATCTTGCTGGAAAAAAAAAGAAGCAGGTGCCAAAAATGGGCCCAGTCACAGTGAGAGTTTCTAAATAGGGAATTATTCTGCAGCCTGTGTATGACAAATGACATAGGCATATGGTAATTTCACTAAAACACTGTCTATAGTAGCAAAAGACTGGAAACAACTAAATGTCCATCATTAGATGATTAAATGATGGAATATCTAACTGATGGAACACTATGCAACCCTTTAAAAATTAAGGATATTCTTTATATCTGTTGCATCAGTCAGCTATTGCTGTGTAACAAAGGATTACAAACTTTGTTCAGTGCTTGTGTCTTAGTTACTTTTCTCATTGTTTGCAGAAGTTTCAGTCCATATCAGCTGGCTCCAAGGCAGGGTGGTACATGGCAGAGGGGTAACAGTTCATGGTGGCAGAAGACAGCAAAAGCCACAAGAACAAAAAAGGGGAAAACATGCCTCTTTCTGCCTCTTTTATGTTATCCAGACTGCTGAGGTTAGGGTGGTGCCAATCCAATTAGTGGACTGATCAGTAATCACTCAACCTTAATCCCAATACCCTTAATCCCAGCATTGTGCTGTGAATAAATCACAAACTCCAGATTCAGCTGCCTCCAAAAAAGCCCCATCTAAAAGCATAAGGCCTTAGGGGGACATCCAGACAAAAACTATGACAGCTTGCAATCGAACCCAGGGCTTTGTGCATGATAGGAAACTGATCTACCACTAAGCTACCTTCCCAGCCTCCTATTACTAAACGCCTAATACCACACAATAAACATTTATTTCTCAGGTGTCTATTGATCAGCTAGGCTCAGCTGGTGGCTCTAGGCTACAACTTGGCCCACATCTGTGCACTCACTGCTCAGCTCCTTGGATCAGGGACTTAGGTGATACATTTGGAAACTAACAACGCCTCTTAAGCCTTTGACTCAATACTGCCATCTGGTCACTGCTTATTCTGCTGGCCCCGAGCACATGGACCAGCCCAAAATCAAGGTGCTTCTACTTTTTGACAAGGAAACTGAGAAGTTACACAGCAAGCAGTGAGGACACACAGAGAGGTAAAATAGACCAAGAATTCAACCAACCTTCAATACTACTACAGAACATCAAAACTACATCTGGGGTACCTGGCATAGCTGACGTTGCTTCTGTCAGTTATGCCACAGTGACAGCCAGGTACATAAGAGCCCTCAAAGCAGAAGCTCCCCATGGATGGCTTGTCCATCTGAGACAAGCCCCCTCACGCCACCCAACCACACAATTCAACATGGTTAACATCTACTTCCCAGTACCTTGGACACAATGGGTGAAGATGTGCACTGGTCACCACTTTGGACCCAACTTAGTGGGCATTTGTGCCATCTCAACCTTCTGCCACATCTCCATCAAGGATGCCTAATGAGACCTGAACAGATGCTGAAAGGAAGTGAGCTCTGGGTCCTGAGCATGCCCAACTATGCATCTGAGGCCTGGCTTTGCTCAGCTCCACCCCACAGAAACTGCTGAGGGACTCCAGGCTTGCTCCTAAGTGCTACACTGCTTGCCCCAGCCCATATTCTAAAGCCACCACCATCCAGCTCCCTTCCATAGCTGCATGCCAGGGACCTTCCAGCACCTCTTCCCACCGCAGTTCTCCTCAACCCTGCCTCATTTTAGTTTTTATTAGTACATGTTTGCTGTATATAATGATTACGTTCATCATAGGGAGTTGGTACATGTACATAACACATCTTAATTTTCCCTCCTTGTTTTTTAAATAAAAGAATTTTCACAGGCCACAATCATAGCTAGGAAATTCAATGAATCAGAGCCATTTGAGGTGAGTGATCCCATTCCGACAGAAACATGAGGCCCAAACAGGAAAACAGTCCTGAATGGGCCCACTCAGGAGAGGGTGGAGGACTGAGCAGCGACCTATGGCAGGAATAAAAGGCAGCTTCAGACTTGAGTGTGCATTTGTGTGTGTACAGGGAAATGGCATTCAAAAGTCTTTCTGAGAATGTCTAATTTTAATAACTTCCAATTCCAGGAATGAAGAACTGAGATAATCCAAACCAACTCTTCTGCTGAAGCTACTGGAAAAAATCTGGACAAAATATGTTTCAAAATATGTTTGAAAGCACTTAAGACTTCATAAGACGGTGAAGTGCTCCCAGGCCCAGATCTGATGGTAGCCAGATCCGAAAGCTCTCCTGAGGTCAGTGCTCAACCCAGCCTCAGCTCTGGGGCAACTGTGATCCAGAGGAGACAGCTGGTGTTTTCCCAGCCTGTTTGAACAAGGTGGGGCAGAGACCAAAGCCCAACCCCACTCCGGGTGAGAAGACCCATCACCACTCAGTTAGCTGAGACCCCAGAGGACCAGAGTGTCAGAGTGAACTCCAGAAACACAGCCCTGGCATCGTACTGTGTACTCAATACACCCTCCTGATAGAAGCTATCCCAGTGGCCAAGGGCACAGCTACACCTGCCCACTTGGAGACAGAGAATACTTTTCATTTGGTAGGTGACTACAGACGTTTTTTGTTAGGGACTTCTGTTTTTATTTTAGGATGCACTGTTAGTCATAGCTGTAATTTCTTTGATGGTGAGTTCTTGGTTAGAAACACATCCCCAAATCATTACATTGTGCCTAAAGGAACATGCAATTCTCTTTGTGACAATCAACTCTGTGACATAGTTTATGGGCTCACATAGCAGCTGAAAATGAATTCTGTCTCTGTCAATGCAAATTCATGAAATGTTCTGTTTATTTTAAGCAGCTGTATTGTCAAGCAGAAAGTCTAGAATCAAAAACTCTTAAGTTCAAATTTCTGTTTTACCATTTATGTCAACGCTTGGCAAATTATTCATATTATGGAGGCTCATTTACCTCACCTGTAAAACATGCATGGTGATGGTAATAATAATAATAACAACAATAACAATGCCACAGTACTCAGAGAGACACTGGGAGATGTCAAATCAAAGAGGCCTAGTACTTGGTAACTACTTAAATGTTTAATAAATAGTTACTATTTTATTAGCAGAAAGGTGAACCTGGGTATCATGGTTTAGAATACCAAAAAGATAATAATAGTAATGCAATAGTTAATAAAATAGTAATAATCACACCTGGGCTCAGAGCCTGTCTGAGGCTAGAACTAATATCTTCAAATGGTCAAAGTATTACAAGACCAATATTCTTACCAGCTGCAAGACTTGAGGCCTTGCAGTAAGTATTTTGGTAAGATAAGACTTGGTCTGTGATCAGAGGCCCCTGAATCAGGTCTGGATATTTTTTTTAAATGCACACTTAGGACAACCAGGTACCTAAGAGGTCCCACAAGAAAGGAAATGATGCTGTCTTTCGGGAGAGCAAAGTGGGTGGGGAAAGCAATTAAATGCTCCAGAAGATTCAGAATGGCTAAAAGAATCAATCAGAAAAAGCTGACTGTGATCTCTGATGCCTCATAGAAGTGTGAGTTTCCCTGAATGTCCCCTCCCCCACATGATGGCTAAAACAAACCCCAGGCCCAGCAGCCCCCGGCTCAGGGAGTCCATAGTCAGGCTGTTGCACCAGGGGCTTGAATCTGCTCTGGGCAGGTGATGGAACCAGGGCAAGGGTCTCACTTACTCTCTCTGACATCTTCGTGAGCCGTGGGGACGTGGTGATCATCACTGGCAGCCTTCTCAGGACTCTTGCTTTTCCTGCCTTTTCTGTTGCTATTTTTACCTAAAGAGTGAGAAAGAGAGAAAGATGCCTTTACTTGCACATGTCAGAGCTGCCTTTGAATGTGAGAACTCACTGTACTCCATCTGGTACTCCAAGATGGTACGTTGGACTCTAAGGGGACTGTGGCTAAAGGAAAGGAAATAAACATTCTTAATGACACAATGTGTGTCTGAGAATTGTTACTCTCATAAGATGACAAAATGCTTTGGATAGAACATTTGACTTCCTAAGGCTGAGATACCCTATATGACTGCTAGACCTGAAAGTAGAGCCCTAGACATTGGCTCCAGAGCTAGCATCTTCCCCTATGCTGCGCTTGTTCTACATATCTCTTCAGGGCCCAGCTTGGGAACCTGTGGTGATGCTGCTGCCCACCATCTGGCATGGCCTGGTAAGTCTGCCTGCTGTGCTCCTGAGGAACCTTCCAATTTCTCCTTCCTCTGTACCCTTCTCTCTGCTCCAGCTATGGTATAGGCCTCCTTTCAGCCTTCAGCTCACGCTTCCTCCCCACCAGAACTTTGCATGTGCTGTCCCCCTCCTGGGGCACCCTTCCCTTCACTTTTGAGTTTATTAGCTCCTGTCCATCTTTCAACCCCAGCTGTGACACCATCTCCTTAAGCTGGCTTTCCCGACTTCCTTCCCTAAATCTAATCCTCCTTTGGTGGGTTCTGATAGCACCTTTCCAGGGTCAAGTTGCCTCTCAGCAGAGCCTGAAGCCAGAGTGTGGTTTTATATAATGTACTGGGGGAGAAAGAAAAGGAGAGAGCAGGATAGGTTAGGAAAGTAGCTAGACAAGGCTGTGGTCTCAGGCTGACTCAGGCTCAGCTGAAAATCTAGAGCAGAGAATCTAGAGCAGCAATTGCACACAGAGTGGTCACCACTTGAAACAAGATGCTGCCAATTCTCCTGCAGTTGGCCTCTGGCTACAGATTGACCATCGGGGGAGGGGGAAAGGTGGCCTTCCAAGAATACTTCTACAGAGAAGGCAGGAGCTGTGAGGGATCATAGCCCAGATTTCCCACAGTGGAGGGAATGGGTGTCCCTGCAGAGAAAGAAGCCCCGGGAGCATGAGCACCCTCCACCACAGCTCCCACACCTCTCCTGGGTGGATCGTCTCAGCTGCAGTGAACAAACAGGTCTCCCCAGGAAGGCAGGGACAGCGCCTGGCTCTGCTCACTGCCCTGTTGCCCATCTAATACATAACAGGCAGGCAGAGAGAAAGGCAGAGAGGGAGGGAGGAGGAGAGAGTGGGAAAGGGAAGGGGGAGAAAGGAATTACCAGACAAATACAAGAGGAGGGCAGGTCTACAGAGAAAAATATTTAACAAAAAAGAGTATATTAGTTAAAAATATTAAATGCAAGTTGAAATACTAAAACAGTTCATGGCTTGTGCCAATTAATGAAACCATTTCAGGTTATTGGACAACCACCTCTCTCCCCTAGAAAAGAGTATTTACAGGGAAAAAAAAAAAAACGAGATTTTTAAGAAATTTGAAAGAGTACATTAAGCCTAGCTAGGGAAAATCCTTTTCATGTTATATTTTTGATGACTGTACTATGAATATCCTTGATTTTTCATGTAAGCTGAAAAAAAATTACAAAATGCAATGTCCCCGTTAGGGCCTAGAAACCAAGAAATCAAAATTTTCATAAAAGCCAGAGGCAGCCTGATGGAGAGATCTGGCCCCATTAACATTTGTTTAGTGCCATCATTGGCCTGTCCTCTTTCTGTGGGCAGGAATATCCTGGTCAGTGACCATCCATGATGGCCACTTACGAAAATGCCTGATACAGGGTCTGCAAAGACCTTGATTGTTTGCCAAAATCAGCAGCATAATCAGTAGCATCTATTGCAAACCTTGCAGGCGAGATAACTTCCCAGAGACTACCTGAGACAAATCTGAAGCAGGGATGACAAACCAGAACGGAGAGAAGGAAACCAGTCCACTTTGCTCTGCAAATCTATCCAGTAAGGCCCAGATGTTTGATTCCCCAGGTGGACCGATATATGGGGTACAGAGTCACCAACGGGAGTGGCAAATGGCAGAGCTCACAGGTAGGTATCCAGCTGCCATCACTGGTCAGGAGTCATCTGGCTCCAATCTGGGGTCCTGTCCCCTCTGCCCTGAAATAGTGTGTCCTTGGATGACCTATTTACCTCTCTACAAGGCAACAGGAGGAAACAAAATGCTGCCTGACCTACAGTCATCCCTGAACAACACTCAGCTTCCATCCGTCCATGGTTAATATTATCGTCAACCCCAAATCACAAAGCCCTACTGCAGTTCCTAAGAGCTAACATGTGTAGCATAATTCACAGTTTTACAAGGCCTTGTGTGTTACATAGACTGTAACATTTGCACAGCAGCAGCAAGTTCATTAGGAACATCATTTTACAGATGGAGACACTGAGGTTTAGAGGGGAAGAGGCTGGCAGAACTAGAGGGGGACTGCAAACCTGGCCCCTTCCCAGATGGCTCACAGGCCTCCCATCCCTCCTCTCTTAGAACAAGAAAGGCAACATATGGTCTGTACAGATGAAAGAAGAAAATGCAGTGGAAATAGTGTTCAGAGAAGGAGCCAGAGTCAAATCAACATCTCCATCTGGGCCGCGTGACAAAACAGAATCCCTTAAAAGTAGCAAACTGAACTTCCAATGCAGACCACATGTTCTATTCTGGTCTATGTGATAAATATAATTCCTCTGGGTTAATAGGAAACTATTTTTTACCTCTTTATACAAGGAGCTTACAGTAGCAATCCTCAGAAACTGAAAACTGCTTTGCTTTGTTGCAGCTTTGCGTTTCCCCAGGAAATTCCAGTCCAACAGGGCTGTGCATTCCCTTTGAAGGAGGGACCTGGCCCAGGGCTCTGGGCTTCTTGCCTGCTTCTTGTTAAGGAACCCACATTAGGGCAAAAAACCAACCAAATGGGTTCTGGGTCCTCTGCAATTCCTCAGATACAGCCTCAAGGCTTCTTTCCAGAAATGCAGCCTCAGGTCCTCAGGACAGATAATAATTATAGATTTCTAACTGACCACCAGCATGCAGACCTGCAGGGACCCCACATAGCCAGAGCCAGGAGGACCATGCAGGTGAATATTAAAGAAAAGCCTTTTAAAAAGCAGTTGGAAATTCCTGCTCTAAGCAGATGTGAGCAGGGAACGGAGCAGGGTATGGGAGAAAACAGATTGTGCCTCTCTCCGATTCTGAGGACAGGCAGCTCCCCAAGGAAACAAGAATCCCAGGGATCGGGTGAATCTCAGGGGTGGCTCAGGGGTTTGAAACCAGTCACTGGTGATCTCCATAGTCTGTTGGGGAAGTAAGGCTGTGGGGCAACGTGAAGTCACTAGGTCAACTTCTTAAGTACAAGATGTGTACAAAAATGCAGCGAATATTTACATTTTAAAATTTTAAATTTTATGTGCCAAAAAGGACACATTGTCCTCACTTCCAAAATACTCTGTTCCTCCTTCTTGCTACTTTGTAAATCAGTTCTGGAAGTCTTGTTCATGAGTCTTTTTAGATGTGCTATCTGGATGCCTCAGTGTCCTGAGTTGATTCAAAACATTCATCTTTCATGTTCATTTTAACTTAGAGGAAGAACCAGGAGTCTCACCGTGCCAGATCCAGTGAATGAGATGAATGAAAATCCGTATGTTTGTATAAGCCTGTCTTTCCTTTGGATGGGGCCTGGCCCAGGGCTCTGACAACACCATTTACTGTATTTTTTAATTATACCTCAGAAAGACACTCACAAAAGAGGACTTCTAGAACTGCTTCAGAAAATGGCAAGATATGTTCAAAGAGAGGAGTATTTGGGGGGGGATAATGGCAATATTACCAGTTTTACTGTAGTACATTTTTAACTTTTAAATATTCGCCATACATTCTGATCACACCTTATACTTTACACCAGGGCCAACGAAACACAGCCCTACCCCCGCTCTCTCCCTTCTCCTTTCTCACCCCCTCCCCTCCTCTTCCTCTTCCTCCTCCTCCTTCTTCTCCTTCTTCTCCTTCTTCTTCTCCTTCTTCTTCTCCTTCTCCTTCTCTTTCTTCTTCTCCTTCCTCTTCTTCTTCTCTTCTTCTTCACCTTCTCCTTCTCCTCCTCCTCCTCCTCTTCCTTCTTCCTTCTCTCTCTCTCTCTCTCTCTCTCTCTCTCTCTCTCTCTCTCTCTCTCT